TAAAGGTGAAAAGACTAGACCTGTTTCCTCTGGCGAATTATCTCCACCAATTCATCACACTCCTCCACCAGCTTGGCTTCATGCATGGCTGTGTTCACCTGCAGATAAGAGCAAAGAGTTTCATAAAGAAATACAATGGCACTTAATCAGTCCGCTGGGTTAACTAAGCTACTCCAGCCTCTCTGCTTCAGTTCATGCAAAAGCCATGAGAATATCAACATCACGTCCTGTCTGGAGTGATGTGGACCATATCATTACAGAAAGGAGAGATATTTTAGACTCTGCTTCAATTCCTTCCTCAGATCATCCTTGTAATTAGACAAAGTTGTGATATCCCATCAAAGATTCCCGTACCGCTCTCTTAGGATCCTGCTTTAGCACTGTACTATCCGATCTTTGCATAAAGCTTATTATTCAAGACAGATCCACTTAAGCTGTTAATCAAGCACACACACACACTCACACTCGTGCATTTAAATAAACAGACAATTAATGCTCACCCCGTTTTAATACTGTCAAGGGTTCAATCTGATTAAGAAAGCACAGAATCCAAGTACAGCACAAACCCAACATTTTATTGGATTTCGGCTAGGCAAGTTTTGTTGTCAAGCGGTATCCACTCACACGGAAGAAACCCACTCAATACCAGACCAACCCTAAGGATTAATCTTTTTTTGGGAATGTCTATAAAATAAACAGTGAATGCAGATGTCTTTAGAATGGTCTATGATTGCTTTAAATGCAAAGTCAATAAAGGTTTCATACTGACACTGTAAAAAATAATCTGTGAAATGTATGATAAAAAATTGGTAGCTGTGGTTGCCAAAACTTTACTGGAAAAATATGGCAGCAACATTTTAAGGCTTAGAGATTGAACTTAAATTTACAGTAAAAAAAAAAAAAATATATATATATATATATATTTTTTTTTACCTGTATAATATATTGACAACCACCTTAAATGAGTAGGTCATCCAAAAATGAGAATTTACTGAAAATTTCTTGTGTTTTTTTGTGATGTTTTTATCAGTTGTTTGTACTCTCATTCTGACGGCACCCATTCACTGCAGAGGATCCACTGGTGAGCAAGTGATGAAATGCTACATTTCTCCAAATCTGTTCTGATGAACAAACAAACTCATTGACATCTTGGATGTCCTGAGCCTCGGGTGAGTAAATTTCAGCAAATTTTCATTTTTGGGTGAACTGTTCCTTTAACACTAGAACCGCCACGGGGTAAATTTTACCCGTGGCTGTTTTTAAAACGTACATAAAAGATTTTTAATAAAACATTCAAGTCTCCCAGTCACTGACTTTAACTAAAATTGTGTGATTTACAATCCTCTGTTGTTAAAAACTGTTTAGATAAAACCAGATCAAAAAACAGGGCATTTATACCTATAAGCGCCAGCGTGGGTCAAATTTACCCGCTATATAATGCCTGTATGTTCGCGCTGTCATTTTCGTGCCGCTTATGTTTTAACATAGTACATTGCTAGGCAACGCCTTTCACTCACTGAATTAGCAGTTATCAGTTTAATAAATAAAGACAAAATGAGTAAAAGTAGGTGATTTATGAATGCTGAAGAGGTATAAGAAGCACTAAATGCCATG